TAACAGCTAACAGCTAGATACGGTGGCCGACAGGTGCAAATGCGCAGCAACAGAGAAAAGATGCGAACAAAAAAAAGACGCGCACAGATGAAATGCAGAAAACAAAAAAGTGCTGAAAACGGAAGTGCTCCAGACCACTAGGAGGAGTCGAAGAAAACAGTATTCATGTCTATGGGACCAGACGCAAGATTCAAAGAAAGTAAGTTGAAAGAAAATAAAGGTGCGTATTACTATATTTCTTTTCAAATACGCCGTCTTTTATAATATTATAGAATAACAGAATAATTTATGGGTAGCGTGATAGAGACTTTGTGTCAGTCATAGCATTCTGGGCTTGGTGTCATAGATATGTGGCGTTCCATGGTTTGGACTATACAATGTTGCTTGTTACCAACAACGCCACCTGGGGTTTTCACCCAGGAATTAATGAAAGGACACAGGTCCGGTTTTGCAAAAAGGAAGCGAGAGACGGGCTTCAAGACAATAATAATTTATTGTCACAGAATAAAAATATACCTGTATCTGAACAAAACGAATTCACAAAAAAAACCGACTAGGCTTACCAGTGGATACGGCCAGGTCCTGGGTGGTAGGCTCCAAAGCAAAGAAATCAAAACACCCGTGAAGTCACTCACTCCTTGTAATTCCCTCCACCTATTGATATTGATCACTACACAGTCACACCAAAAAGGGACGCCACATCCAGGCCCGAGCGCACCACCGGTGGTCTAGAAAATAAAAAAAGAAAAGACAATTTGTTAAAAATACAGGCAATAAAAAAATAAAAATGTCGAAATAAAACCATAAAATCCCTGTGCTCGACGGCACAGCAAAATGAGCAACCCAGTCCAATCCAATCCGAAATGAATGCGATCAGCCGCTCCTTGTTTCGATTCCGGAAGGGGGGGGGCGTGTCCCAGGCAGCCGGTCTCTCTCTTGCAACCACTAAGTAAGCGGTGACTTGGTGCAGGCAAAGCAGCAGCGTTATGTGTGGCAACCAGTCGAAATTCCTAAATAATAAAACAGTTTGAAATAAAAGAATAAAAAACAAGATTTGTCACTCATTCCACCTACCAATTAGGCCAAGCTCTCCACACTTGCACCCAAATGGGAACGCTCAATGTTGGCACTTTTTGAAGGAACCACCTCACCCACGATCAACGTAGAGGTAAATACGCCCGTCCGTTTCTGCTGATAAAAGGCTCTACATGACTACGATGTGCAAGCAGCTGTAAATACGCAGGTAGCCAACCTCACCTGTACTCGGCGCACAGACAGCTCAACCCGGAAGCGCGGTGTGTCAACAGCAAACAACGTCAGACTGGAGCTCACCTCTACTTTTATACTGAGCGCCCTCTGGCGCTATTGGCCCACTTGCAATCACCCCGCCAGCAGGTGCAGCCTATACCTCTTCCTGCCACATTCTACCCCCCCTTTTTGTGTCGTCGTCCCGACGACTCAATTCCATGGTCTAAATAGGACAAAAATAGAGTTGGCTGGAGGATCAGAAGAGGCTACAGCCTGTGGAGCTTCACCTGCTGGTCTGGGAAGACGGTTAATATTAGAATGCTGGCCTGCAGTTGTCCTTGCTGACCGCCGCAAAACTAGTTCACTTTCAGCCCTAGAAGGACCAGGTGAATGACCAGAAGATGCTACTCCCCCATGAGTAACAATGCCTGATGGACCTGGCAACTGAGGTAGTGGATCCCCTGACTGAAAAGGTTGGTTAGCCTGCACCACTGTTGGAGCAGGAGGATTGCTACTCACCAAAACATACATATCCTCATCACCTGACATCTCATCTTCAAAGCGATGATCACCAAGTGGTGAGCTGGGACCAATGGCACCTTCTCCAGACTCTTCTACCACCGCCTTTAACAGTATGCGATTAACATTTCTGGTTTTAGCTAGATCAGTTACAGGTGCTATAGTATACACTGAACCTCCCTCACTGGGCTCTCTGAGGACTTTATACTTTACTGGGCCATATAGGTCATGGATCTTATGACGTCCTCGTGGGGTGAAGTCCCTTAACCACACTAATTGACCAACCTTCAGGGGAGCATGTTGAACTCGTTGGTCATGGTGACTCTTGCGGCGCTCCGCTGCAACCCTCAACCTTTCACGAGCACCCTCAAAAGCTACCTGAAGGCGGGCCTGATG